CCAGTTCCGAAAGGCTCAAGACCCAGTAGTGGGCTGCAGCCCAGGGGTTGGGGACTCCTGTTCCAGAGGACAGATGCCATGAGAAGCATGCTTCCTGGATCCCAATAAATGACACTGTTTCATCAAAGGGACCTGGAATGTACTCATTCCTGTCAATCTTAAAGGACAGTGTGTGGTACTTCACACACAGGTGAGCTGCATCCTCCATCAACCCTAGAAATCGCATCCCAAAGATAATACAGCTGGCATGCTGACTTAGTAGAAAGGGAGAAGGTCACATTTGTCTAAAACATCCCAATTGTGTGCTGTAATTAACACTGTTTCTTTACTTTTCCTTCCCTTGTCTTTGCAATGTAATGGGCCAAAGGTGTAAGCTGTGATTCTGCTTTTGTTCAGCACTGCTCAGCAAACTGTACAATTGCTGGGAACTGTACACTATTGTTATTTGCATGTTTAATACATTTACTGTATGTTGTATCTTCAAATTATTTGGCTGCTTTAGGTAAACCAAGTTTTGGCCACAACAGTAGACAAAACATAGGGAGCTCCTCAAATAACCAGGCTATATGCCACAGCCATACAGTATATTATCTCTATCAGTAATAGCCCTCACCTGGAATTGCACCCAGAGCCCATACGGCAGTCAGTTGATAAAGGAGGAAAAAAGCTGATCTCCAAACATGTTTGTGGCATCAGAAAGCCATGTCTTTATTTCATGGTGATTGGAGAATTTTGGGAGTTGAAATCCACACATCCTAAAGTTGCTGAGGTTGGCAAACACTGCTCTTGAATGCCAATAAAATATTTTGTCCGATAGCATCTTTGGTGTGTAAAAAGACATTGATGGGAATAAGAATTTGGGAGAGCACAGCAACAGATGACTGGGCTGTGGGTAAGAGTGGAAAGGTGAGAAGGACATGCAAAGGATAGAGGCCTTTCAGAGGCTGTTCAGTTAACCAAAATCGCTGCCTGATACGAAAGCCAATGGCAGGGAAGACACTGGATTGGCCCCTTAGAGGAAAGCATCCATTTTTCATAGGAAAAGAGTAGCAGGTCCAGAGATGAGAAGACTCCTTGGTACTCCTACGAAGCAAAGAGTGCAGAGGTGCCCCCCAATGGCAAGCAAGAATTTCCTTCAAGCAAAACTCAATTGCTGATAACATCATATACGTCACCATGTTGGCAAAAAATATAGAAATGGATTGGGTTCTTCCAACAGATATTTCTCAACCTCCCAGGCTAATTTCTTATAGGTTATAATTTCCTTCCCAAAAAGATTATCATGCATTCTGCATTGGGTTGCCTTTGGCTCTATTCTGGAAACTTCAGTCAGTGTCTAATTCAGCAGCCAGATTGGTTCTGAAGATGGTCAAGATCTCTTCCTGTGGGACACCCCATCCCCCAAACCCACAACGAGATCAACAACTACGGTAGCATTTACCTACGGCACTCCAGATCTTTATAATGTGGCTTTATAACAATGTCTTAAACATGCTTTTTACCCATGAATGATTTTAATTGTGGATTGTTTGTCTTACTACTGGTTCCAGCTTCTTTTTTATTTCTTTATTGCAAACTACCAGGAGACAACCGTACATGACAACATACCATCTGTAATAAATAAATGCATCCAAAGTGCCTTTTCAGGGGGGCTGTCAGTTGGCAATTTCATGACTGCCTCTTTAGCATCACAGGCAGTGCCATAACACATCAGTCATGAAACTGGAGCATCCGCATCTAACATTCCCAGCCACCATCAAAATTCTCAGGCTGCAAATCTTTTTATTCTTAGGCTCCTTCTGCCACCTAGCTTCCAAAGAGAAATATAGAAGATTTAAGAAAACTCCGAATCTCATTTAATTTCAGTGCAGCATAGGCATCCCTGGGATTATGAACTCAGCATGCCATGGTTGCGGAATATTTATTGCCATGGATAACAGACTTTTTTTCCTGTTTTTTAAATTAAAATAGCATTATCTCCGAATGTATTTGCACTGAGTATCAGTTCCGCAATTGAAAATAATTCACAAAACATGCGAAGAGGCGAGGTCGCTAAGCCAAGTGGTCCTTAAAATGGGGGGCGCTCTCATGTTCTGCATCTCCCAAAGGGTACCTAGGCTCCAATACTTGAGTGGCAAAAGAAAAAAAGAGCAACGGCACAAAATGGATAGAATGGAACCTTGCAGCTCTTTTACAATCCTGCAAACAGTTCTTGCTTCCCCTTTTCTCCTGCCTCTTCCCTTCGCTTAACTCAGGGGTAGGCAACCTCGGCTCTTTTATGACTCGTGGACTTCAACTTGCAGAATTCCTGAGCCAGCATAGCATAGCTGGCTCAGGAATTCTGGGAGTTGAAGTCCACGAGTCATAAAAGAGCCAAGGCTGCTTACCCCTGAAACTGGTGCCTTGCATTTGGCTGACCACAGCTGATGTTGAAAAGGCAAGCAGAGATTGCCTGGGTTCCTCCTTTGATGGGAGACTACTAGAAAATCCCCGGGTTGTGATCCCGAAGTGGAAAGAAGGCAGCAATAAAATGCAGACACAACCTGTATTGTTGTGAAGAAAACTACAGGGAGCTGCTTGGGAAGTTACCAGGAGGTCAGCTTGCTTCCAAGGAGTTGGCCTTGAACTTTTCTCAGCAGGTCATCTCCTGCTTTCTCAAAAGACACTCTTCTCTTTCCCTTAAGACCTGGAACACTTACAGGAAGTCATCCCAATTGCTGCTGCTAGATCTTTCCCAACTCACCTTTTCCCATAGCTAAACCACATAGCTTATCCTGGTTCGACCTAAATTAATGACCCAAAGATATGGTGGGCATCATTCTCATCCAAGTGGGGTCTATCTCTTTAGCACAGGTCCAAAACGGGTCCCAAACCTCTCACAATCTAAACCCCCTGGCTGCACTACCATTTAGATCAGCGGTTCTCAACCTATGGATCGCGACCCCATTTGGGGTCGATCGACCATTTCACAGGGGTCGCCAAGCAAGGCTGTCCGCCATTTTTTTCCCCTTTTCCGGCGGGTGCCTTACCTCCCTTGGGCTGGGCCAGCTGGTGGTCGGCCTGCTCCGTCTCTGCCGCTTGCCAGCTACGCCTCGGCCGGCGCAGGGGGCGGAACCACGAATGCGCGGCACTCCCGGGCAGGGAAAGTCCTCGACTTACAACCGGTTGGGTAGTCCTCGACTTACAACCGGTTTAGTCCTCGACTTACGACTGGTTTAGTCCTCAACTTACGACCGGTTTAGTCCTCGACTTACGACCGGTTTAGTCCTCAACTTACGACTGGTTTAGTCCTTGACTTACGACCGGTTGGGGGTCGCGGCATTAAAAAGGTTGAGAACCACTGATTTAGATTAAGGTCTAACACCAACACCAACACCCCATGACTGCACCAGAGTTCTGCCAGCAAGTAAGAGAAATAGTATTTTTCCTACCTGAACTTCCTTAGGTTCCCACACACCAAAGTTTGCCTTCCAAGCTAGGCTTGTGGCATTCATCTACCAGTATCTCTTGGCTATCAGTGTGCCCCACAACCTCTACCTGGCCTACAACTTTCAGACCAGGAAGGCAGGCCATTTCCATCCCTTCATTTTATAATGATAAGAGTCCTCATTGCTGTGCCATCCAGAATTGGACAGGAGCAGCAACAGGGATGTAACCTGAGCGATACCTTTGTAGGGACTTGCACAGGTGTCAAAAAGTCAAAATGGAGGCCTGATCTTCGATTAATTAGAAAATACCATTTGCACTCCATTGTGTACCCCACCATATAGCTATTTTTCTGCTAAGGTTATATTTATTGTCTTACTATTTAATTGTTTATATTGTTTTATCGGATTGTAAGCAAGGCAGCAAAATGGACTGCGTATAAATTAAATAAGTCAATAAAATTAATAAATTAAAGAAGTGCCTCTTTTGAAGGACATATTGTGTTTTGTGCTGCGGGGCAGGGGGGGGAGCGACAGAACTTGGATTGTGGGATCATACATACATCCGCCTCAATGTTGTTTGCGGCCACCGGCGATTCTGCTGTCTTTGAGGGAGACGCTCCCCCCCCCCGCCCCGCAGAGAGGTACCTGGTTCCCACGAAGCACAAAGCCACAACTTGACACTCAAGGGGCATTTGCATATTGGCCAAGATACCGAGCTGCGTTTTCTTGCCGCTGACTGTCCAACTGGTGTTTTTCTGTCGATTGGCACCGAAATGTGCAACTCCTTTCCTGATTCGAATGAAAAGGCTCGCTTTCTTCCCGCGCCTGGCGATTCAGTCCCAGGTGTGAGAAAAAGCAGAATCGTAGTAAAAGCTTTTTGGGACGCTCTCGCTCGGGGTCTTCGCAACGGCCCCGTTAGTCTGAAGTCGGTGCAAAGAGCAGCCCGGCTTGGTGCTTCGCGATCCTTACCCCGCGCCCGAAAACGAAGGCAGGGAGAGGATGGCGAAAGGAAGGACTGTAGAGCGACTCCTGCTGGAGAAAGTGGGGAACCGGCGGCGGTTAATGTCCGCTTCCGCTAGGAGGTGCTGCGGGACTCGCGAAATACAACACGGGACAGAGGGCGAACCTGGCTGGGGGGGGGGGGGGG